GGTCAGTGCCCAGGGGAAAAGAAAGCTTCTGTCTGCCGAGACACAAGCACGTTCACGGGACGTTATTATTCCTAACCACTGCAAATGGAAGCAACCCGAACGCCCGGCAACACCGGATGGCGAAACGAGTTGTGGCGTCTGGCGTGTCCCTGCCGCAACGGAAAACCACACCAACGGAGAACCAGCCTGCCCCACGAGGCACTGCCGAAGCTCAAAGCGTTACGCTGAGCAAAAGAAGGCAGACACCCGCGTATGTGCCACAGGACTCCGTTCATGGGAGGCTCAAAAACAAGCAGAATTAACCGGAACCAACAGAGATAGAAGACTGGTCCCCAACGGGAAGCAGAGGTGTTGACTGGAAAAAGCTAGAATGTTCTGGATCCCGATCTAGGTGACGATTACACAGACGTACGTGCATAAAAAAAATCTATCAAGCTGTGGACATATGATTTGTATACTGGACCGTATGCACTACACCTCCCTAAGATGTGAAAAAAGAACAATGACGGACATTCGCCGAGTGCTACTGACCTCCCGTGCGTCAGGCCCTGCTCGAAGTTGATGCCGCCTGTGATCCTCTTATAACCCTGTGACGGAGGAGCGGTCTCATCTCCCGGCTTACGGGGCCCGGACAGGCCTTGACAAGAGCGGGTCCCACGCCCACACCCAGGTCGGCACCAGGGAGAGGAGGGAGTTGGCTCCCGGAGGCCCCCCTCCCGGGCCTGCAGCCATCCGTAGACCCCTGGGCCTGGGAGACGCGTGACGGCCTTGCTCACGTCTGGTGGTCAGGCAGGGCTGGCGGCTGGGCCACCATTCTTCTCCCCCGGCGTCGCCAGTGGGACGCTCGGGCATCCCACGCGAAGTCTACGAGGGCCAGCCCAGCACGTGAGCCCTCCCCCAGCTCCTGAGAGCGGCGTGCCCGGCCAGGCCTCCAAATTCGCATGGCCCGGCCCGGTGTCGGCATGGGAGGCTGCAGGAGGGCACAGACACTGGAGGCAGGACTCACGAGGGCCCCACACCACCTGTTCCCCTTCTTGAGCTCGAGTCACGTGGCCTCCTGCTCGTGGCATCCCTGCTGGCCGTCCTGCGGTCCCCTCAAGTTCAACAAGGCCAAAAGCGAGCTGCCCTCTTCATGCAGAGCCTGCTCCTCCTTCTGTGTTTCCAGTCAGATCTCTGTAGGATCAAGGCCAAGTTCCACACCGTGCCCTGCCTACCTTACCTAGTGTCACTGAGTCCCCTCCCAGTGCCTGTCCCCATCCCCACCACCAGGAACCACGTGGACTCTCCACATGAACTCTTTCGCCTGAGCCGTGGCCTTGGTCAGGACACCGGGCTGCTCTGCCCGGAGCCGCCCTCCCAGGCTCGCTCACTCGCTCACCGTCCCCTCATGGAGCCTGCGGCAGCCCACCCCAGGCGAGCCCCTCGATCCCTGGGCTTCCTTCCGGCTTCTTAACAAGGAGGAAGGGCTTCTGCCGCGAAGACCACGTTTCCATCCACAAATGCGTCCTGAGAACTGTCACGCATCAGGCACGGACGTAAAAGCAGAAATAGGCACCGAAACTCCCAGCCCCGGTGGAGCTCACTCTGGTAGGGGAGACGGTGAGCAAAACACAGACACAGGTGACAAAGCACGGGGCGAAAGGGCGGACGCTGTGGATGGGGAGGGGCCGATTCAAGAGGGCATCGGGGGAAGCGTCACCAATGGCAACAGAGACCCAAAGAAGTGAGGGAGCGACCCACGCAGGCGGGGGATCGGACAACGTTCCAGGCAGGGCCACAGCAAACAAAGCCCCTGAAACAGAAGCCGGCCCCGCAGGTGGCAAGAACAAGCAGCCAGTGTGGAGCCAGACGCCCAGGCACCGGGCCGCTGAGTGAGACCTGACATGCTCCCAGAGCGACGTGCGGCCGGAGGAGCACAATCTGACCGGCGTGCGCACCGTCAGAGCAGCCGCCGTGCTGCAGTCACACGGGGCGCGGGCCTGGGGGACACAGGGAGGCCGCCCGGGAGGCCGCACGAGTGATGACCTAGGCTGGAGTGATGCTGACCTGGACCACGGAGACTGGGGGCCGAGTGGTCAGATAGGGGCATATTGGGAAAAGAGAGGCCACGGGATTGGGAAGAGGGACACGAGGTGCGAGACGAAGTCAGAAGTTAAGGGTGACTCACGACTTTCACCTCGGGGACACAGATGGACCTGGCCGCCACGATCTCGCACAGAGGAGCTGCGGAGGATTTGAGGGGAAACCTGCACTCTGGTGAGACTCCCCAGGCAGCCCTTCAGGGAGAAAGGTGCAGGGGTGGCCAGTGGAGAGCGAGGGCGGGGAGGGTCCACGTCTGGCGGGCAGTCACCAGGGGAGGGAGCAGGGATGGCAAGAGACGAGAGCCCAGCCTGAGGCCCGAGGCCCGGGCGTACCACCGAGCACGCGGGAAGACAGCAGCCAGGGACGTGGGACCGTGGGGCGTCCTGAGTGCCGGGGGAGGGGGCGAACGCCTGTCACCTGCTGCCAGGAGGTCACGCGGGACAACGTGGACGGAGACCGCGGGACTGAGCTGTGTGGCGGCTGACAGAGCAGCGTGGGGGTACAGGGGCGAGCCCAGCCAGAGCGGGCTCAGGAGGGGTGACGACTGTGCGGGGACCTGCGGCAAAGCGGAGCAGAGGAGCCAGAGAGGGAAGGGGCTTAGGGCAGGCTCGCCTTTCGTCCATCCTAAAAAAGGGAGCCGTCCAAACGTCCCTCCAGAGACGATGCAGCCCCAGCAGAGAGGATAACGGCGTTCTAGAATTAAGCGAGCCGACGCACGTGCAAAGAACTTTCTATGAGACTCAGCACACGGTGAGGCCACTAAAAACGTTAACAGAAGCGATGATGCGACACATGACTACGTGACACGCGACACGGCGGGCCCTCCTTCCATTCGGCGAGCCCTCCAGGGCACAGGCACATCTCGCCTTCAACCGTTCCCACGCCACGGCGGGGCCCGGAACGTTCAGGCAACAACCACCTAGTGCCATTTCCTCCTCCACACCCGGAGTCGGGCACTCAGAAGCCCTTGCCCTGGGAGCCGCCGTGTCAGCCATCTGAGCGCTGCCCCTCTGAGGCAATCAGGCCACGAGAGATGAGAAATTCGGGCTCTGCCGTCTCAGCCCTTCTCCCCCAGTCACCTGTGGAGCGGGTGCCAGGAGGCAGCAGGGCAAGTCTGGCCGTCACCCTGCTCCCCCGGCCACGGCAGGCAAATCATGGACGGGGCTTCCTGAAGTGCGTGCCGTCCAACCCGGAAACTGCCCGCGGAGCCCGGGCCTGGGGGACGAGGGCAGGGTCCCACGTGCCAGCGCAGCCTGGAGACCGGCCACCGGGATTCCGGGCACACCTGGAACACGGGAGTCCCTTCGCCCAGAAGCTGGGGGTCTCGGAGAGGCCGGGCCGCACGCTCCGGTCACGGCCGCCACGGCATTCAAGGGGCAGGCGGGCTCCTGCGGCAGGAGCCCAGGGGCGGAAGGCGCCAAGCCCGCGGCAGCTGCCCGCCCAGCACTCACCCGGTGCATGTCTTCATACTTGAGGAAAAGCACGTTCGAGTCCATGCGGTGCTCCCAGAACTCCTGCACGTGCTCAAACCAGGAGCCGTAACCCACTGCGGAGACAAGGGGACAGGTGAAATCACAGCCCGGGGGCAACCACTGTGCACAAGTCGGGTGGCCTGGCTCCCTGCCTTCCGGGAGGTTCCGCCCGTACTGGCCAACAGCTGTGGTCCAGGAAGGGGAGGACGAGCTCTCAGCTCCGGGGGCAGCCCCCCAGGTGAGCCCTTTTCGAGCCCCAGACCCCCGGCTTTGTGTGCCAGTCTCTCCTGCCAACGGTCCTCGGCCCCTCCCCTCCCCCACCCCCGGACGCCCTGAAGACCTGACCGCCAGGGGCAAAGCCTCTGCTCAGCAGCGAGAAGGACGCTACCGGGCCCCCACAAGTTTCTGTTTAACACGAGGTCACCAGGAAGGGAGCCACGCCCGGCGCGACGGAGACACGGGGCCGGTCGGTTCCGCCGGGGGCAGGACAAAGTACAGGCAGCTCTAAGAGCCGAGCGCGAGGCCCCGCCAGGCCAGAGGGCCACGGGCACAATGCCGGGCAGAACCAGGAAGTCGCCGGGAGCAGGAGGGGCGGCGTGCGCTGACACACGAGGCCCACGCCCCACACCACAGCCCCCGCACTTTCCACACCCCTCAGGGCTTTGCTTTGCCACATGGGCAGGTTGGGGGCGGCTGCCAGTCCGTGCGGCCCCACTGCTTCGAAATGTTCTGTATAAACACCACGGATCCTCACCTGCTCCCTCAGCGAGACAAGTCTTCCTGGGGGCCTTCCGTGTTAAATGGAGGAAGGCCTCAGCCAGAGAACTCGGGGCCCTGCCAGGCACCAAGGAGCAGCCCGGCCGGGTGCTAGGCGCCAGCCAGGAGCGCTGGCCACACTGCCCGTAGCCCTGCT